CCATCGTAGCACGATATGGAATCAATTGCATTTTGGGGGTATTTTGAGTCACAAGTAACGTCTTGTTCATAGAGCACGCCAGAGGCCTCACCAAGGGATTGATTGATTTTTCTTACCTCATTCTCTGAGATGTCTTCGGCTAGGTGGCTCATATTTCCCTTAACAAGGGAAATATGAACAGGATCCAAATCCGGATCAATGTTGGATTCATATCCTTCGTTCCCCGAGACTATCCTCAAAATATCGAATGTTATCTCGTGGTTTCCTAATATGTCGACATGATCTGACGTTTTAGGCCCGCCTCTTCCGGGAAGGAATATCATTGAAATAGGCTCGTGCAGATATTCTCGCGTGACGATTTTGACGCCAAATGGATTTAGTCGGGATGTTTTCCAGAAATGAGCGCCCATCAGCCCAAGCGAGCGAAGAGGCACAGTCCCATCTCCATCCCCCAAAATTACACCATTTACAACCTTTTTGTCCTGATCTTCAAAGGAGGTATCAACAACAAGGGGTAGGAGAAAATCTGCAAACTCGATATCCATTTCCTCAAAGATACAATGGATCAAGTCTTTTGGATCTTGACATCGTTGCAGCATTTCAAGAATGGTGCCATTAGAAAAGAGGTCTTGGTTGATTTTGTAATAATATCCGATTTCGGTTTCTTTTCCAACGCCGTAGAAAGAGTAAATGGTCAAATTTGGAGCATTTGGAAGCGGACTTTCCAGAGGATTGGGCCACAATTTAGTGTTGTTTAGCTTGTAAGCGGAAGCGATTCGCTTGGAGGTTCCCGGAGGCAATATATTGGAGTCGATTAACAGTTTTTGCACGGCCTCGTCCAGCTTCAACTTTTCTCCATTACTCAAATACACGACAGGATCTTCTGACCAAACGAGACTTCCGCCTTTGGGGAGCATGTTAAGAAGACATGGCCATCTTCTAAACAAATATGCTCTTTCTTTTCTCGAAAGAAGAGATTCAACAAGCGCAGATTCAAAGATTCCCAATTGAGCGGTATCCTTCATATCGCCAGATATAAGAGAAGATATCGTCTTTGGAACGCCAAGTAGTGGGCCACAAATATTAACAAAAGCGTGGATATGGCTGTCAACCCAAGAGGAATCTCTAAAAGGTAAATGCATTTATCGTACGTTTCCGTAACCCAAGAAATAAATGATAAAAAAACCAAAGAGCCGAAAGAATGGGTTATGATTACAGCCTTGGTTCCGGAAAACCCAAATGATTTTTCAATCGATTCCTTCAAAGAAGAAAAATATCGATCTCTTTTTTCTAGATCGCTTATTGATAGTCTCCAGTCAAAGGATGCCATATACAGATTGGAAGGGTCATAACCGATAGAGCCGAGATTTTTAATTATAGGCCCCCAAACCCAATACCCCGGTACAAGAAAGTCCGCGGCCGCTAAGCCCTGAGCAGCTCTTAGCTTGATCCCTGGAGGATCGAGACCAGTTTCCAGGTCTAGGGAAAGATGCTTAAGCCAGCTTTTTTTGTCAAAAATAAGAAACTTCATCATGGTCAATGTGCCCCAAAGCCTATCTCTAAAATAGGATTCGAAATGTTCTTTTTCATCTGATTCCCACAGCTCAAGACCGGTGGAAGTCATGCCAGGAATAAT